TAATATATTCAGAAGTACGAGCAATTTTACCCGACTATACCATGTTATGTATGTTAACCAAACACCGCCCAAAAATGATTCGACAACTAATTGTCGTTATTCCCCCCCCCCAAAAAAAAGCCATTTTCAAACCCTTTCGTTATGAGGGAAGTTCTAAATATTGTCTTTCAAATGCCGTTGGAATTTAACCTTTTAATTTTTCGGACCTGAAAATGGGACATACATGCATAGTACCTTTAAGAAATTGCCCTTACATACGCCTATGGGCATTTCCAAGTTTTTTTTGATGTATTTTTCAAGTTGCTGTTAATTAAGCTTGGCCTAGATACTCTGGCATCCTGGTTTTTCATAGTGAGGTGTTAACAATTACTTTTTAACTTTAGAGTTCAATACGAGGCACCTCTAAACCGGAGGCATACCAGCGGCCTTTTGTAACCTTTGGAAGAGGATCCTGTTAGAGGTTTAATACCATTTCGGATGATTATTGTTCGGTTACGAGATTAATTGACCCGTTATTAGCTACAATAGTGTTGTGGCTGCAGACAACTGCGTATTATCATGAACCTTAGGTTCATGGTATTATTCGTTGGGAGAATCCGGGATTTGATTGCGTAGGCCTATTAGTTTGTAAGCTCAGGTTTTGTTTTCTTTTTCAAATGGTCTTTTCATCATTCCAGGTAGCAAGTAGCTTCCTGCATGACGTCATATCCGATGTTTTGTATAATCACGATAATAACAAGATATTTTACAAGGAGCCAAGAAAGAGGAGAATGGAGAGAGAGCATTGAGCCTCATTCTCATACCGATAATCCTTAAACGAAGAAGAAAAAAAAAGACACAGTCACCAAGTGAATCCCGCACAGCTCCATTCGAACAACAATACCCTTATAAATCATATGAAGAATTATAAAACGATTCCCAAATTACTACAGTTTTCTTGCAATTTATATTAGCTACTTTTAAGGAACTCTAAGAAAAAGGATTGAGGAGGACAATTAATGTGTTCGGATACTTTTTTCACTAAAACTGAAATTTATCAAAAGATCTGAGAGAAAGTAAACGGATGGAGACAGTTGAGTCGTGTCGCGATGCAGTTGTCCGGTGGCCCGGGGTAGTCTTCCTATAATTTTCTGAGATCACAAACAGATGCCTAATATAATCACATGTCTTCAGAAACACAAAGTCATACAAACACATGTATCAATTAGTACATTAACCGCACCTGTTATTTTTAGTTTGCCGCGGCGGTAGGCAAGGATTATGTTTAATTATATAATCGGTGCGACAGTCTTTGTTTAATAATGTAATTGGTGTGAGGTGTATTTGTTGTCACTATCATCTATGATGGGTCCAATCGTATAGTTACATATGCTACCATGACCTCTTAGCACCGGAAGTAGTTTGTCAAAGTGTTTCCGTTCAGGGTACCCAAAGCACTTTCCGTCCGGTGAGATTGGGTGAGCTAGCCTTTAAATGAAACAGGTTTTACATCTGATTATCAAGGGACCATACTGACGCCTGGTTTATCTTTTTGACATTAAAAGATAGACAACTCTGTCTAGCTTATAGTCCTATTTGCATGGTCATGTAATCTGACATGTTTGCGATTATTGCATGATTGTTATCGTGACAGCCACCCTCAATATCGGTCCCGAGTCATAAGCGACTCGGAACCACGCATGCCACTCAAAAATGTGACGGAGATGAAAGTGAACGTTTGTAATGGAAACAAAAAATATAGATATAAAATAGAGAGGGAGGAAGATAGTATGAGGGAAGAGTGAAAGAAAAAAGAGAGAGAGAGAGAGAGAGGGAGAGAGAGAGAGAGGGGGGGGGGGGGGACAGGGGGACGGGCGGGATGGAGCGGGAGAGAACTTTTATAGTTCATAGACAACAGACTCAAGGGAGATCTCTATAATATCAACTCCATGATATATAGCTGAACTTATGAACTTAACCATAACAAAACTAATTTGTTGACAACAACAAAATAAATTTAAACGACTGGTTTAATCGCAGATTGACCTCTGTAATTATTGCAGAGACAAATGCTTCAAAAGCCCTGATGCTTTGACAGCTTTGACCGCGCTGAAATAAAACGCCTCGTTATGTTTTTATATAGGTATTGTTCTTATTGGAGTATGCCCCGAAAGCCATTTGCTAGACTCAGTCACACCTTTGCGCATTGCTGCGTATTTATGGCAAGCCGTTTTAACATTTATTCCTATTTCTTGATATCAATAATTGAATTGTTGATATCTAGTAATGGTTTTCTGTTGTAAAGCAATGGTAACTCTCAATATCAAGAAATAGAAATAAATGTTCAAACGGCTTGCCATAAATACGCAGCAATACGCAAGCCAAATACGTAAACTTGTGACTGAGGCATAAGTTCTATTGCTTTGCATGGTTAGAACATTTTGTAACAGTAGAAATTTCTAGAGTTTAAGGGCTAAGTGCCCTTAGAACCCCCTTCCTAAAACAACTCCATCAACATCGAGTTGGTTTTCTACGTTTCCATAAGTGCCTACTTGCCGACTTTATGTCACACTAGGCGTGACATTCATGATAATTGTCCAATTGCAGTCATCCTTGACCACACATTATCATTTGAATGGGCATGTAAGTTCTCATCTCCGGTTCGCAGTATTAGTTTGTTACGGTATGTCACTGAAACAGCTCCCGTAAGATTTTTGTGCCAAAGTTGATTTTTTGTTTTTGTTGATTCATTGGGGTCCAAGCTATCAGAAATTGATGGGGTTCAAATTTTCCCGAAGACACCAAATTTCCCTATTGCGCGTTGTATAAGCCATTTTTTCCGCCCAATATGGACCCCCCCCCCCAGGAAATGAAGGAGGGGTCTGAAAATTTGAACCCCATCATTTTTGGCCAATTGGGACCCTTTTGAAGCCAAAACAGCATACAAATCAACTTTGGCAAAAAAAATCCTACGGGATTACATACCATACCGCACTATAAGGACACTGAATGTCTGAAACATGGTTTATGAAGGGTACATGAAAGGCTAATGGATTTGATCTGAGAGCTCTTAGTTGGCTTCTTAGCACTTTCATGAATCCTGTTCATATGAAAGGATATACATGGTGTAAATCTGAAAGAGGTCGTCAAAGGGACTTTCATTCTAAATGCAAAGACTTATCACTTTTAAAGTGCTATCCAATGGTTGACAGAAAAATTAGAAAGTAAAGGGAGAAGCACATGGTGATAGAGAGAGAGAGAGAGAGAGAGGTGTATCCCAAACAGAAGTGACGAATTTGCATGAGTCTTTTGCCAAATTGAATTACAAAACAATGTAATGCAGATTGTAACATTTACAATTTGTGATTACAGTCCTGTAACATAAAAGACATTAGAGTAGACTGTCACATGGCCAATGCTATCACCATTAATGGAACAGTGCAACCAAAAACGACTTCTATTAAACTATTGATCCCTTTGACATCAAGCATAACGCGAGTTTCATATTATGAACCTCGAAATTGGGTCATGTTTTTTAATAAATTCACCTCAATTTTAAATACAGACCCACTCATATTGCAGACTCACTCAAAACAGCATGGGGTGACATATTTCCAAACTTATCAACTTATACCACGTAGTAGGTCCATGCTTATACCATGGAGATCTCTTCTTATATCTCCATGCTTATACCTAGCTTCGTCGCACCGCCAACCGAATTCAAACCGACTCCAAGCCGAACATTCCTGGCCATTCGGGGTAATATATTACATGTTCGGTCTGGTGACGGTCTCATGAGTGTGGCAGTTGTATCAATTTAGACGGTATGTGTTTTCGAAGTCGTAGGCTAAATTGACCAATGATAAGTCAAATCAAGGCTGAGGAACTTGGTTACATTATCCTTTTGAAATACCGAGAATGGTAACCAAGCACAGCCATCACCTAAATTTAGAAGTTTGTGTTTCAAATACATGTACGTAGGTTACTTTAACCACGAATAAGTCATATTATTATTAGAGCTTAGGAAAATGGTTACATATCCTTTTAAAATTCTTAGGATGAATTATAACAACCTTTATCAGTAGGGTGTGATGAATTACCACTAAACGCAACTCTTTCCGCAAATGGTGGAAAGCCATGATTCATGTCACCAATTATTTATTTTCATTCATTATGCTTAAGTTTATCAACTTTTTATTTGACCCATGTCGTTGTGAAAGATTGTCAAACTATATGTTAAACACTGTGCACTGATCAGAAAACATAACCCCAAAGTTATGGATTTGACATCTTCATATCTAACTCAGCCAATCCAACGGCATAGTTATGTATACGTTGGAGAATAGGCCTTACTTAATTGACAGTTTTTTTAACAAAATGAATAAATAAAGGAGAATGAGGCCAAACCTGAGCTTTATTAAACGTAGCTTATTCTTACATTTCGGTTTATTGAATCAAAATTCATTGTTAAAACAGTCGGGAGACTGATACAAACAAAGATTACAAGTAACTTACTAAGTAAATCGTCTGAAATTTGGTCAAAATTTAACCTCAATATTCTTTGTTGCTCACTCTCAGAGTAAGTTGTGTTCGTGTGACATAAACCAAATGAGAATTATGAAATAAATAATAAGGAATATTCTAAGGTTTATAACTAATAGACGAACCAGCGAAGGTCACATTCAACAGGATAATATATGTAATGATGAACTGATGATAAACTATATAAAAATATAAACATATTCTTTGTTGCTCACTCTCAGAGTAAGTTGTGTTCGTGTGACATAAACCAAATGAGAATTATGAAATAAATAATAAGGAATATTCTAAGGTTTAGAACTAATAGATGAACCAGCGAAGGTCACATTCAACAGGATAATATATGTAATGATAAACTAATGATAAACTGAAATAATGGTATAAACAACGCATGAATGTCAATACCATTTTGTAACAACGTAAATCGGGCCCTTTCAATGTTCATGTCTTCATGATTGTAAAGTAAAGATCGCTGTATTTACCTGTTACGATGTTGAGAAGTGTTCCTCTCTACAGTCTAGAAGTATCAACTGCTTTATAATACTTTCAAACGATAACCACCACGATGTATATATGATGCAAAATAACGTTTGCAGTTATAGTTCACGGTTAATGGGCGTTTCGCATTATGAGCTAACACTGTAAACATTTCGCAGACAATTCATCAAACAGTATAGCTACTAAATCCATTGCACTCAGACGACTTGAGAACTCATGAAGAAGAGTTCCTTTCGTGGACTTTAAATTGAAATAATTGTCTCTCCGGTGAACTACACGTATGGGCTAAGATATATATTTCACCAAGCTGGTGTGCGTCTAGGTGTGTGCGTGGAGGTATGTTAATAAGAAACTGCGCTGATTGAAGTTTCGACTGAACAGAAGCAGACGAAGAGGAGACGAACTTCAACTTGTCCAATGTTTATCGATCGTTTCTGAATCACGACCCTCTCTCCTCGCAGTGAACGATTGTGTTTGTCAACTGGTGGGTTGAAGCGAACCTATTGTCATCCTAATATCATAACAATCACACACCTTTGGTGACCTGGCAGGTATACGTATGGCGGGCAGGCAGGTTGGTCCCAAACACCGTGCGATAAAGCTGAGTGGAGAATCTACAGTGAGTCTGCATATATACCAGAGTCTAGAGAAGACGAATAATACCTCAACAACTAGACCGACAACACCGAACACGTTATACCAAATGGCCAATAGTCGTTCAATTAGGAGTCGGTGTGGAGGTGGGGGGGGGGGGGGGGGCTGTAGTAGATTCTTTATACTCATTTAACACCATCTTGTGTAATCAGTTGCCTCGGCTGCTGAGGTAATTGTTTTAATAAAATGAAGAAGAAAAACCCCGGAAAGTTGCACATTTTTACGGGATGGTATGAATGGGGGGGGGGGGGGGGTTAAAGGTATAGGCCAGTTTTGGAAACGCCGCCCTCTCAAAAAATGAAATGGAAGCTCTTATTACCAATCATGCGAAAGAATATGTTTTGACTAATACGTGATGATACACATTTTGCTGGGAAACAGCCTACTAATCGATATATTTGGTACATTATCATATTGATCCGGCCTGTATAGATATCGCGAATACACTTCAACATTGAACATTTGGGCATATATTTCTGTTTTTTTTTTATGGTTATGATTCAAAGCATACAACTCCCAGTTTCTTGTTTACCAGGTCTAATTATCGTAGTATTTTTCAAACTAAAATAATAAAAGCTCACAAAATAACCAGGAATAATAACAGATTGTGCTCACGATCTGTGAAGCCCACAAACGTCATTGCCTTGATTATGCATGGGTCATTAGATTTATGGATCAGTAGGTAATTAAATCATTAGCATACCTCTCTCACTAATATTCATCATGCTCTCTGCACAGGGCAAAAACAAATCAAAATTCCGGAGAAAACACCATTAACCTTCATATTTTCTGCAGGCCTATTATTATGAGAAAAACAATATTTTGGTTCAAGTTGATAATGATCGTTTCAGTAATCAGGATAATGAGTTTGTTTATTCATGAACGGCATGCTTGGTATCAAAATAACGGAGTTATCACTAATAGTTCAAAGGGGGAGGGGTTAGGGGTGTTGGGGGTCCATAAAATCTTCAGACAACCACAATTGACGCCCTCTTTAATTGGCAAAGCTATACTGAAGGAAAAAACATGAATACAATTGTAGGAAAGGAAAAAGACAAAGCCCCCTACATTAGTCGCCTTGTACATGTAGTTATTTCTGCTTGTGAACTTTCAAATATGCTGGCAATGCAAAAAAAGCCCATTACAACTGTGGGAAAATGAATGTTTAGCACAATGCTGTAATAGTGTGTTCAATGTTGTATGTCCAAAAAAAACTCTGTGGACTTCGTACCTCTTCGGCTTTGAAAAATGTGCATTATCATGGATTTGCATTACTACCAGTAAATGAAATTAAAATTCGTATTGAATGTAATTACATATGACTCATATCCAGAAATATTTTGAATCCAACATTGCTCATAATAAATATATCATGTCCATTACGGAATTGGAGTACATGTTGCTGTGGATAGAGAGAGAGAAAGAGAGAGAGAGAGAGAGAGAGATAGAGAGAGAGAGAGAGAGAGAGAGAGAGAGAGAGAGAGAGAGAAGAAGAAGAAGAAGAAGAAGAAGAAGAAGAAGATGAAGAAGAAGAAGAAGAAGAAGAGAAGAGAGAGGGAGAGAGAGAGAGAGTGAGATAGAGAGAGATAGAGAGAGAGAGAGAGAGAGAGAGAGAGAGAGAAGAAGAAGAAACAGAAGCAGAAGAAGAAGAAGAAAGAGGGAGAGAAGGAGAGAGAGAGAGATACAGAGAAAGGGAGAGAGAGAGAGAGAGAGAAAGAGAGAGAGAAGGGGTGGGTTGACTTTTAAGCTCCACATTGTGAAATGAGGGCATATGTTTATGGCAAATCATTAATACTGACTCAAGATATAACGTTACGATTGTTTGAGGCTGTACAAATCTTGTAACGATACTATCATAACAGCGATTCTTCCTGAATATAATATGATAGAGATGATAGTAAAGCATATTATGTTTTCCATGTGACATCACAATGAAAATAAAACACAATGGTTATTATAATACAAAGGAGTTAGCCGGTGTTAGTGTAGTTTACATCCGATTGGTTCTAATAAATAAAGGCTTATAATTTCATTTAGCAATCTGTTTATAGGCCTAGAAATAATGCCCCCCCCCAAAGATCAATGCTCCCTATGGATGGATATTGACCACAAAACAGAAAGGAACTACATCGAGTCATGTGGCTGATAACATACTTATAATGAATGATACATTATACCACAATAAAGAATTACATTGACTAGAACAATCATGTATTGCTGAGTAAAGAGGATATGATGAAACCATTGAAATAAGGACATGGTTAATCCAATAAATAATCTCAACGTGATCGCAAGAAGTTTCGAGAAATCGACGCGAAGCAATAGCCTTGAGCGTCACGTCTTAAGTACTACTTGTAGCTACTTGCTCCCTCTATATAGACAACAATGCCTAATCGGTGACCATTAGTACCCCATGATCCCCTTTTTTCTTATGTTAAAGGCCCACTGCACTACTTGTAGCTACTTGCGCCCTCTATATAACAAACAATGCCTAATCGGTGCCCATTGGTCCCCCATGATCGTCTTTTTCTTATGTTAACTGAGAGCTGAGTTGATGAGATAACCACCTGTCCAGTGACCTTGCAGGGCAGTCTAATCCCTCATGTAAACTACGGCAGATAAGCTTTAATTGAGAGCTGACTTCGTGAGATAACCACCTATTAGTGACCACTCTGGGTGGTCTAATCCCTCCAAGCCAAAACTAGTACAGACTGCCTTTGAAATGTGCAAACATACTGACAATGACAGTTACGTAAACTGAACATGATTTTTTTTTGATAGCTAATGAAATATAGTATTACAATTTCCTGTATGTTTATTTCTTGAAAGTCTTTCCGATCGTCCTATGGTGATGCGCCATTGTGCATGCATTAATCGTTGTTAGGTCTGGCAATCCTCATTAAAGAGACAATACGGTTGTTTTATCTCTAACGCTTGGTTCGATGCAAATAGGTCAAAAATGTCCCACAGCTTACTAATAATTAAGTCAAATTTACAGATACACGTAAATCTAAATTATTTTATTTCTATTTCTACAATATTCTAGAACAGTCAAACCTGTCTATTACGTCCACCACAGTAAAACAAAAATCCGCGCAGATATTCCCCTCGAGAGAGGGCTTATATGCATGACCACTAATAGGCAGGTGGTCTTCACGGAGGTGGCCACTAAGATAGGTTTGACTGTATACTTTATAGAGTAAGGCCTATGTCATGTATAGTATGTGATCAATGGTTGATAATGACAATGGGGCTATATAATGATCAAAGGAAATGCATGTACATGGCTTCCTGTTCTGCCATCCTACAAAAGTTTATCAAAATAGGATGAACGCTTCCAAAAGATACATTTATAGCATTAATCAGCATTCCGGCTGGTTAAACGTGTCCCTTCTTAGAGGTTGTACAGCTGATAGAGATCAAAATGAATAAATGTTTGTCTTATATAAACAAACATTCCGGAATACAAATGAATCACACGACAACTTAAGATAATTAAAAATGTAGCTAAACTACGTCTAGACATGTTCAGCTCAGACATATTGTGTAATCATAATAATATTATTGGTTTGTATAGTGTTTAATTACACCGACGATGTCTCTAAGCACGTTACAGATTACCCGGTCATATGACTCACTTCAAATATATGCACATTCCCCACTCCCTCACAATGGCACAAGTTCAGCTATTATCACGATGAGGGGCGTGGCTTTATGAGACACATAATATACGGAATATCGAAGTAACCAGATACAAATACAATATACTGTACTGAGGTGGGAGGGGCTAAACCATCGTATTATCAATATATGTCCCTTTCCCTTTCCAATTCCCCCTTCTTCTGCCATTCAATTAGATGGGGGGGGGGGGGGGGGGTACATGCCCCAGTGTTCATGTACACGTACCTAAAGCACTCTGCTTGTTTGAATCACGTGTATACTCACACCATGCATTTACCAATGTGGATGCAACATTGTCATTTAACCATAATAGGATGCGTTTTCAACAAACACACAGGCACAGAAATCGTAAAATAAAACAGGACAAGCTTGTCATTTACTGACCACCAAAAACAACAAAAATTCTAAAAAATTCCCATAAATCGCGACAATATTACTATGGAACTCTCAGCAGGAAATTGACCGAGGATGCCACCCCCTTCATCCCCACCCTCATCGATGCCCTGTGCACCATGAGTTGCCTAACGTAGGTAATGAATGACGTCATGACTAAGATAACAGTTTTTCCTGATGATTTTGCACATTTTCTCATACTTTTAGGGGTCATATTTTGCTCACTGCATGGAAATAGATTGGACATTTTATCTCCGCTTCCACAGAGGTAGATTTTGTGTATGTTTGGCGCTAGAAGGACGTGGAACCATATTATTTTACGCAGGGTTATCACTACTTTGGCTCCAAAGAGAGTTTCTTAATATTTGTAACCAAGTTTGGCAAAAAACCCTTAATCTAATTTCAGGATATATTATTTTGATCAAAGTTAGGATCTTCGTTTTTCCGCTCTTGCACTAGTTGTTATTTCCTCCCTGAGCGATAGCTTCAATTAAATCCAATATCAGAATAAAATAAAAATGAGGCTTCGGAACTACCACCTGTGGTCGCTCTGGTTTTACTTCATCAAAAACATTGGTAATTTTATACCCTCTTTTCCTTTTCAAATCGAATCTGCCACAAACACAATCGCATTTAATTGTTTTCACCAACTACGGGATGGGAAATGTTTATCTGTAATAGAATAATAAGGGGTTTTCCCCTGGAAAATTACAGAAAAAACAAAATATGACGATAAACTCCCATGGGTGAAATGGCAGCGCCAATTTGAAATAGATATCTAATTACAAGAAGAAAAGAAACAGAAAGTATAAATGAATCAATTAAGAGTTGAAATATTGAATCAAATTGTTCTACATGTATTTATTTCAGATTTCTTCTGATGCAATGACAAATCACCATACAAAAATAACAAAACGGAGTTTCATTTCTCGTTATAACAATGAAGAGCAAATATAAAAGAAAGTACTATCTCTATCATTATCGAATGTAGAATGCAGTTTTACAATAACACATTCATCCTGTTTTCATACAAGTCGATATGTTATGCACGCACCGTATTGCATATATTAAATTTGATTTCATGCAGTGGCAGGTCCGGGCAGGGGAAAGGGGTATAATTAGGGTGCGTGTTCCCCCCCCCCCCCCCCCAAAAAAAAAAAAAAAGATGAAGGAAGAAAACAATAAGAATGGGATGACGCCTTTTTGTGTATGTCACAGACATTGCGGACTTGTGCCCCGCCCGCCCGCTCGGCCAAAGAATCATAGTATTTTTGGTAAAAGGAAGATCAGCCTTTGTGAAACAAAAGTCCTGTACGCAAAATGATTTCTTCTTCTATTTCTGCTTGTTTACTGCAATCAAACTACAGTAATTACTTTAGTTGTTGCAGGAAAAAACTGTGGCTGGCACGAACGTATTGGTCCGAATTCACAAAGGAGGTTTGTCGACAAACCGAGGTTTATGTGCGTCATACGACGCATTTCGACGCGTTTTTACAAACCTTGGTTTGTAAGAAACAAAAGGAGGTTTGTCGAAACAAAAGGAGATTTTTCGACAAACCTCCTTTGTGAATTCGGGCCAAAAAATGGCGATTTATAATTATGGCACAAAAATCCGCCAGGTATTGATGCCCATGGCACTAATTATTGGTAGCGACAAACATGGATCCAAAGGCACCGGACTGTAGCTTTTCCTCTTTCTCTTTTTCTTCAGGTGCTTTGTCATTATGAGTGGACCGGCCGATCCAGAAATCAGTGAACCATGTCGGAGCGTAGGAGAGCGGGATGAAGATGACCTTCATATCTAGTCCACATGAGTACCTGGTCTTGGGCCAGCGGGCTAGTAGCCCGTGCATCATGGCGTTGGTTACGATGGTAAGGTTGGGGGAGGAGACGAAGTTCATGAAGTTGACAGAGATGTTCGATACTGTGTTGAGAGAAAGAAATATAGATTACGATACAAAACATTAGCTTTTAGTGTGCTCTCATCCATCCACAATAGATAATAAGCATCATCACCACCAACACCAACATCACTTTCATCTTCATCACTACCACCACCACCATGCACCACCACTATCAATCCATCATCACCACCAACCATCTCATCATCATCACCAGAATTATTATTATTATCATTGTTATCATCATCATCACCATCATCAGCAGCATCACTACCACATCCGCCACCATCATTATCACCACCACTATCTCATCATCATCATCATCATCACCACCATCATCATCACTACATCTTACTAATTTAACCTACATTTCTCATGCATGTCTGGTTCAAACTCCGCTTGTTTCTCCTTTGATAACCGATCCCAACTCTTCTTAATCTCAGATCTAGTCTTCTCAGGGCTGGTAAGCTGGGTTTTGAAGAAACCAGGCTCTAGGATACTCACTTTGATCCCGTAGTTCATCATACGACTTTCTCTCCTAAACATATCCAAAAAGTCAAGTAAAAAAAAGTATATTCAGTTCGTTTAACCAGTGAATGCTGTTACCATGATAATTGTAAAATTTATAGCGTTTAATACTACTATTTCTTAAAAATGACTTTTATTACCCTAGTCACGAATCTGGCCGGTTCTTTATATAAATCCCTAAACTGGATTCAAGCCGCCAAAGATGGCGTTACCAACGAACTCATACGCTCGAACAGTTGTGTAAAAAAACATTTACGATACCAGCCCTATGCCCCAGTTTAAGATTTTTCGCTGGGCGTCCCAATTTAATGATCAACGCCATCTTCGGCTGGCAACAAGTGAGTAGGGGGAGGTCGCATTACGCTGGTGTGGTGGAGATCGAAATTAAATCGGCCAGATTCAGGACTGTTGTCCCCCGACATCAGCCGAGCGGCCCTGACAAGACGCTCTGGCATTGTAGGAATTTCTTCCTACCGGGTACATATTTACATCACCTGAGTGTAGAGTGGTAAATGCAGATTAATGTCTTGCCACAGGACGACCGGGGAAACAGGTTGTGGTAAACGGAAAATGGTAATATAGAAAGAGAAACAAAAATGAAAGAAAAGCGGGATATGGAGCATAACAAAAATAATAGATGAACTCAGCGCGCTGTGTTTGCAGGAAAATCGGTTCCTAAATCCAAACACATGGTGTATCATCCTTACATACCCACCTCCTCCTCTCGCCGTCTGAAATGTTTGGCTTCCTTAGTTGTCAGCTAATTTGATCCAACACTCCCATATACACTATTCCAAGTTGTTTAGTAGTACCCTCTGTTTCTAGATATGTGAACAATTTTTCTCCAATATGTAATTCTTTTTTATGTCCTGCTTAATTGTAACAATATTTTGTCTGTATCCTCGGCTATTATGTCTCCTTTGTTGGGTTTGATCTACAAAGTGATGTTACAAAAAAGTAGATAATTATTTAATTATTTATTTACCTTAGCGTATCAGAGAATGCTTGGACGCCATATTTCGATTCAGCGTATCCTCCTGATCCCATGGCCACCCGCGAGAGGGCGCTAGCGATGTTGACCACTCGACCTCGAGCTTTCTTGAGTAGAGGTAGGAAGGTTAATGTGACATCGATGACGCCGAGGAGATTGACATCGATGATGCGCTTGTAGTCGTCCTTCGTGGACCAATCGATGAGACCAGGTAAGTTGGCAATACCAGCGTTGTTCACCAGACCCCATAGTCCTGGCAAGAACAAGGTTGTACAAAGGAACCGCAATAATTAGAGATAATGACATAGACAAGCATTTGGCCGTCAGGAGACTAAAGATCAAGGCGCGGCAATTAATAGCCTACACATTACACCAACTAATAATAGTTAACAAATAATCTACAGGCAATTTCAAGTTTAGATTACAGAATATGTTTTAAAGTTGTGTTTTGAGCTGTTCTGTGGAATCGAGCTTTCTCATAGAAGACAGAAGCAAGTTCCAGAAAACGGTTGCAGCTTTGGCGAAGGATCTATCTTCGTAGGTAACCGTTCTCATGGCCTCTGATGACCTTAATAATATCACTGGCTAAGTTACTGACACCGTCTCAGACAAATACTCCGGGCGCCTGTCAACGTAGAATCTTGAAGGTAGCCAGACAAAAATGAATGTGTCTTTATGGTATGGGCGAGGGGAGGAGTGAGAACTTTGGTGAATCTGGCCTTGTCGGCAGATAGAAAACTGGTTTATCTCGCTGCAGTTATTGTTAATGCATGTATAAATTCTATGGACTTGCTCGTATACAAATCGAAATATCCGAGGACGTCTTTTTTCCTCGTTGACAGATGCGCGAATAACTTAGTGGCATCCCATCCTAACCTCCTCTCCAATACCATTCAAAATGGCGACTGGTTTAGAGATGCCTCTTCAATAAGTTACTCGTAACGAAACGATGTGGACCAAAGTAAAATTCGTACTGAGGTGTCGTGGTCGAGCAGCTTAAGCACTTGATAGGAATTGCTAACCTCTCGGGTTCGAGGCCCGGCACGGTGCTAATATCATGTGACACAACATTAAACTGTAGCTGTCCCTCCAGACACAGGTTTAGTAAGAAGTTACCTTTTAAATTTTTCCCCTTTAAATGCACTGTGCGCTAGTAACGATTGCTGGAGATAATCACGGTGTAACAAACAAACAAAGCACTCCGGGAGCTCATAAAGACCGTCATATGACCGTTGCCCGATGGGCGTCATTTTCATACTTGCGCTAATAAAACAATAAAGCAATACAACAATTAGAGGTAATCAATGTCGTGGTATAGTTGCTACGTCACACGTGTCGCCGGTCGAGTCCTTCTGCGACATTGATGTCCTTTGGCCAGCCATTAATCCTTATTCGCCACACTCGACCCAGGTGATGTAAATTGGTACGTGGCAGGAATTCGTACCTTGAAATGCTAGAGCGCCGTTATTGGCAGCCAAAATAAAGTCGGCGGAAATAATTATGGGGCGCCAGGAGTGTTAATTCTGACAGACATGAGTGCTATACAAGAAACCACTATTATTTTTAGTGAGCACGCCCATCTTTCAGTCTCGATATATCTCTTTCACATGGTGCGTTAAGAACCGCGCAGTCGTAGTCCTACGTCAGGCAGATAACGCCTCGTGTGCAGCGGGTACACCATTGTGATATGCGCTATAGAAACAAATGGAACTTCATTATCATAAAAGTTCATCTGAATTGGTGATAAGTTTTTAAATACAAACAGTATTCGCCTCAGAAATGTTACGTTGCTTAGTTCCAGCCTTCGCCAGCGATATAACCCGACCTGAATCTTCTCACATAATAGTCAATAACGGCCGCAGCTGTTGCTCAAGAGCTGAAAAATCATGAGGTATAGATTTTCGATCGAGATAAGAAGTTTAACCCTCACACATTTTGGAATTTGATTATTATGTTTACCTGTATCTTTCGGCAGTTTCTTCTTGATGAACTCGGATGCGGCTACGACACTCTCGTGGTCGGTGACGTCCAATCGGAGAGTGATGACCCTGTCTGATGTCTTGGATTCGACCTCTTTCTGACCTTTAGCAGTCAAGCACGCGGCGAACACGTGAACACCTCGTCTGTCTAACTGACGAATCACAATGCTTCCAAAACCAGTATCACAGCCAGTTATTAACACGTATCTAAAACGAAACAGATGGTTTTTGTGAACAATGTTCAATTTACTATCGTTTTAGCAAAAATGTTATAAACGCTCTTTAAAACTTGTAGGTAAAATTATATTTTTTAAACAAGTAATGAATGCTGCTAAAATTCGGTACGATTATCGTTCGTATCATGCACCCTTTTCCCAAACTCTCCTAACTTTATCGAGACCGTTTCATCCCTCTCGTCCTAATACCATGAAATCTGCGAAGAAATCGGAAGAAGGGAAACGAGATGAAAATGGTGACAAGAACATGAACGACGATATGAAATAAATGAATTAATTGCTTTTTCGCTACAAAAAAAGAGAAAGATTTGGGACAAAACTCCTAACACCATATACAACATTAAGTTTGACAAAGGCTAGCACTTTCATTCTTACAGGCACGGGATCGAGTCAGATGAAGATTGCCATATCGAAAAATCAAAGGAAATGAAATAAAGAAACAGCAAATATAAATAGTCACGAGGAAATTGCTGGCACCGCCAACTGTTATGAAGTATCAACATCATAACATTAGAGCTTCACACATCAATTATTACTCACTTGGGTAATAATAATCAATATATAGGGAGATTTTGTCAACAATTTAGAGTTGTGGTCATAATAAAAAAAAAAATAATAATAATATGTCTTGTTTACCCAGGGTAGTCTCACCAGTACTGTTTTTCCTGAAGACCTATATCACATATATTACCCCAGCTCAATTTATTGATGGTTGCAATTGGGTTTTCAGGTCAGATTAGAGTTGGAGCTAGATCTAGGTATGCCGATCATTTTTTGGTCTGGGATTGAAGTTGGAAGTTTGGTTAGAGTATGAGATTGACTGGGGGGGGGGGATCGGAGCAGGTGTCATTTCCTGATATCTTACTTGTCAATGACTTTTGGTAGCAATATAGAACGAACTAGACACGGTTTATGATCGTTTTAGAAGAAAAAAAATAAACGCTCTTTAAAACTTCTAGGTAAAATTATACTTTTAAGACAAGTAATGAACGCTGCTGAAATCGGCACGATTATCCTTTTGTCACCCTCTTCCCATCTTCTCCTTACTGTATCTAGACCATCATCATCCCTCTCGTTCCAATACCATTCTTCTCCCTATATGCTTAGGTAGTTAGCCTCTGCATTTATCTTGATTATTTTTCTTACCTCCATACTTCCAAGTTTTCAATTATATGTATATGCATTTTTATATGTGTGTTGTCACTCTTTATGTAAATCAGTTGTATTATATAGTATTATTGTTACTTAAATGTTCTATATTTGATTTATCAATGAATGCAGAAACATCTGCTAAAAAAACAAAACAATATTCCCTCCGAAAATATGAAATCTGTGAAGAAGGGAACCGAGATGATGATGGTGACAAGAACATGAACAACGATTTGAATATATGAAATATATGATATGATAGGTTTTTTCGCTACGAAAAAAAAAGAAAAATGGGAGAAAACTCCTAATACCATATACAACATTAAATTTGACAAAGGCTAGCACTAAATTCTTTCAGGCACCGGATCGACTCAGATGAAGACTACCATATCGAAAAATCAAAGGAAATAATAAATAAACAACATTTAATGGTCACGAGGAAATTACTGGCACCGCTAACTGTTTGGTGACTATGACGGTATCAACATCATAACATTAGAGCTTCACATATTAATCATTACTCACTTAGGTTACATGAAAATGCTCCGGCAATGTACAGGCAGATTTCGTCAAAAATGTAGAGTTATGGTCATAATAACAACAATAATAATACTAATGTCTTGTTCATGCAGGGTAGTCTCATCCGTATTAATACTGTTCTCACAGAGGGCCCTGCAATCATATCACATGTATAACCCCGACTTTATTGATGGTTGCAATTGGGTTTTCAGGTTAGATTAGAGTTGGAGCTAGATCTACTAATCTAGATATGCCTATCGTTGTTTTGTTTGTTTGGTATGGGGTTGAATTTGGAAGTTTTGGTAAGAGTATGAGATTGACTGGGGGGGGGGTCGGAGCAGGTGTCGTTTCGTGATATCTTACTTGTCAATGACTTTTGGTAGCAATACAGAACGAACTAGACTCTCCATGAACATGCTTACGATCCAGAGGACAAACAACCCAGTTAACGTCAACACAATCATATCCCATTTGAGTTCCATGATGCTGGTAGGAGGATCCTTGAAGATGGTACCACTGTGACAACTCTCAGGATTGGTCAGAGGTGAAACCTATAACCCTAAAGATAAGACTGAAACGAGAAAAGACGTATTAAACAAAGAAACATTCTAGTGAAAGAGTAGGTGTATGTGTGAATTGTTTTTTTTACAGACGTGTATCAATCAGGCGCGGATCCAGGATTTTCCAATGGCGGGGGGGGGGGGCGGAAATTCGAAATTCGCGCAGACCGTTATTTAAACTTACCAATACTGACAAGGTCATATTAGAAGCACTGTACTTTAATAGTGTACTTGTACCTACAAGCGGGCACAATTATTTTGGAAAGGGGACATGCTCTTGTCCGATATCAACATTCCCCGTTTTCAAGTTATGCTCGCGCGCAATTTTTTTGACATTTCCATCAGTGGGGGCTGAAGCCTCTTGCCCCAATATTTATTTCCTGGTTTAATAATTTGGCGAGTGAGCGGAAATTTGAGCTTATGTATGTTGTGAAAAGTGTTAATTGTCACCAAAATATACGAGATAAGATATAACAAATGCATATTGGTAATTTTTTAAATTTTCGGGGAAAGAGAGGCTGCAACCCCATCCCGCATTAACTGCAGGTGTTGTTAAATCAAATCAGACTCCCAAAAAAAGTATTAACCAAAACGCACGAATCCAGTTTCAAAAATCCCAAAAATGTCAGCTTCAGAGGGGGGCACATCACCCCTCAGACTCCCTCTAAAAGTATTAACCGAATCGCACGAATCCAGGTAAAAAAAAATCAGCTTCAGAGCTAGAGAGGAACCCCCTCCCCCCCCCCCCCCCCCAACACACACACAGACACCCCCTGTGCGCGCAAACGTGAAATTAACGGTGGCGGTAATGCGTATAAAGCAGGGGCGGCGGAGCTTTTTCCAAAGTGGAAAGCACCAACAAAAAAGGGCACCTACAAAGCGAAATCTCAAAGCGAAAATATACATTTTTTTAGACATTGGTATATACCCTTTCATTGTGATTCCATTATCAGGGACGATTTCAATATTTGTTTTTCTTTATATATCATACAAGATATTGCTTAAGCATCACACTTTCGGATGGGTGTGACTGTCTGAATATTCATTTGCGAGCGAGCAAAGCGAGCGAGAAAAAATGTAAGATCTGTGAGGTCGCAGAGTGAAAAATTACATCTCATAAAGAGGAAAAAACAAATCATGATGGGGTTATAAGCATCACGGAAGACTGAAAAAACATTTGTTTTAAAGTGACATATAATTGTATCATCTATAAATGCGAGCGAGCGAGCGAGCTTAATATAAATTACTCTTAGTCGCTTTAAATTAGATGCAAGACTAATGATGAGCAGGTTAGGGGGCACGTGCCCCCCCCCCCGTGCCTACGTGCCTGATGATGAGAGGTTAAGGGGACACATATCGAAGGGGATAAAGACACTTATTAGAAAAGAAAAGGAGCATGTGTCAAGGTACAAAGAGTAATTATCAAAGGTTCAAACGGGGCACTTCTTACACCTGAAAGGAGGCACTCACCAGAAATGAGATAGCCCAATAAACAGAACACTAAAAAGTAACCTCTTTTGGGAGTGTATTTTAAGTGATTTTAAAGTATAGTGCCTTTTGAACTAGATTTAAACGTTATCGACACGTGCCTTCATTTAAACAAAAAAGGTACTCCTGTTCACGTTTTCATCTAACCTAAAAACCACCAGTTTATCACGCGACTGGAGTAACGTGATTCCACTTACCTCTGTAAATCAAGTGTTTATGACCAAATAACCACTTGACCAAGCAACGAGTTTTTTGTCAGTTAACCGATGGTGGCGATAAATACGTAATTATTTGGTCTTGTAAGCACCTTTATTGATTGGTTTCACAGGTTACCCAATGTTGATGGTAATAATCACGTTACTTACACCGGCTAATCGTCTTATTGTTCTGTCCGTGAATCTCTGGTTATATTCAACTAGTAATTCTGAGGTGTCTCACACACCTCTTTAAAAGGTTTCAAAGTTACCATAAATTTCTTGGTTATGATCACGTGGCTCAAGCTGATTACTAATCTAAGCTGTGAAAACGTGATATGTAGGTGTGAAAATTAGTAATTATTAAGTGTTTTAAAACACCTTTTTAAATGGTAGTCAAAGTTGCCATAAGTTCCGCGGTGATGATCTCGTGACTCAAACGGATTATTGATCTAAGCTGGTCATACGTGACTTTTAGGTGTGAAAAATTAGTCATTATTAGGTGTCTTAAAACACCTATTTAAATGGTTTTAAAGTTACCATAAATTTCTTGGTGATGATCACGTAGTTAAAACTGATTACTAATCTAAGCTGTGAATCCGTGATATTTAGGTGTGAAAAATTAGTAATTATTAGGTGTCTTAAAACACCTATTTAAATGGTAGTCAAAGTTGCCAGCAGTTCCGCGGTGATGATCTTGTGACTCAAACGGAATATTAATCTAAGCAGCGCATACGTGACTTTTAGGTGTGAAAAATTAGTCATGATTAAGTGTCTTAAAACACCTATTTAAATCGTAGTCAAAGTTGCCAGCAGTTCCGCGGTGATGATCGCGTGACTCAAACGGATTATTAATATAAGCTGGGTAATCCGTGTTTTCCATGTGTGAAAATGAGTTATTCTTGGGTGTCTTGATGGTTTCACAGTACCATTTAAGTTCCGTGGTGATAATTCCGTGACTGTTGGCATATTTCTATGTTCACCAGTTGATAACTGACTGTTGGTATATTTTCATTGCACCAGTTGATAACTGGAGTGTGCATATTTTCAGTTGCACCAGTTGATGACTGAGCGTTGGCATATTTCGAGTCGACCCAGCTGACACCAATTCATTTGCATATTGAATATGGGGTGCGTGCAGATCTATGTTTTTTAAACAATTTATGTGAATTTACAGCATATTTCTTAATTACTGATGATTTAGTTATATGCAATTCATTTCGAAAATACTACAAATATAAATTACCAGTTATTAGGACATTTCGCTACTTCGTATAAATTACATTTAGTTAAACATGAATAAGGGAAACATTAACTGTAAACTAAAATAATTTCAATAAAGTACAAGTATACGAAATTTTTTCGATTAATTCAATTATGTAAGTCTACTTATTACCAATGCCCTTACATTGGAAATACAGACGTACCAGTATTGAAGTGTTGTTGCTGTTCAAACTGGTTGGAAGTTTTACCAAATGGTTCTAATGGCTCAACTAGACCAGTTGAATTATAACTGGCCTGGATCAACTGGATCATTTAGCCCATTTCAATTTCCAGGGTTACCAGTTGGCATTAAAATGGTTCATCAACTGGACCAGTTGCAACTCTTCTGGGATGTTTGCACCCACCCCCCCCCCCCCCACCCAACCCCCTCTAATCCCAAACTGCTTCCGGCGCGCCTGGACGTAATTATGGAAGATCCAAGACACGATGTTCAGAAACGGGATGAGAACGTCATTATTTTGGTTCATTTATTGTGTAACATTTGCGTAACTATTGGGTTGAACGCGGGTTACAGTAACATACTTCCTCTTCGACGTAAATTTCACGTGAATGAAGAACATGATTCATCTCAAGTCAGCCTCGTAATATTCACGTGAATTTCACGCAGATATTTTGACTAAAACTATCACTAACGCTTCACGTGTTTCTGTGACGCGATAATTTCGTGTATGAAGAAGTAATTTCATAACCAAACAAACACGGGAGTATTAGGTTTACAAACCATGGTCTCCAAGGTAGGGATAATCACGTTATTATAATGGTGATATTGCAGTGACAATTGCGTGATTTAGTGTACGTGTGTTTTAAGTTACCTAATGCAATAAACGTATTAACACATTTACGTAAATGTCCGGTGTTTGAAGAACGTAACTCTCCTCAAGTCGATACCTTGATATTGACGTGATTTTCACGTGATTTTGTTTATTGGGAGGGCACTTATGAGTATGGGAAATGGGCATTTGTTGACGGAAAAGGGGTATCCATCAGAAATTGATTTATCAGAGGTGAAAAGGGCATTTATGAAAAGGGGATAGGTCCCTTATTAGAAAGTAAAAGGGGCACGATTAAAAATAAAAGGGCAGTTAGCAAAGGTAGTTCACGTATGCACCCCTCCTCCTAATCCGTCGTTACCGTCACTGCCATTTACGTATGGCCGGCCGGCGTATTTTTTATTTACACGCTAGCGCGGGGAATTTCTCGATTAATTCCAATGAAACCGCTTAAAATTCAAATGAAACCGCTGGCGAAGAGTCTAGCCTGGATCGGAGAGCTCGCTAGTGTGAATTTACATCCAGGAGAAAGTTTGCTTAACTTTTTCTTGAAACACTTGAACGGTTATGGAAACTGTTTGTGTTTCTAATCTCTAAATATTAATATTATTCTGCATCAAATATAAAACATTGATTTCTACTGTGATATGTAAAGGCACGAACTTACGTTAATACATACACATATTTTTTTTATAACCAAGAAGGTGCACCATGGTAATACATTTTAACAAACACATCAACATGTTACCTAGACAACTCATCACCATAGCCATTGTAAAACCATTATATTAATGATACATGTAAAATATAGATTGAAGCAATTCTCATCAGTTGGCTGTATCCTGAGTGTGATTTATATAATGGATTTTGAGTAACATTTGCATCTACCTGTAGTTGAAGAATAGATACAGTGTAGCCTATAACATCAATTAAGTTGAAGTTCAATTGGAAGGAAGTAACGAGGAATATTGAAGCAAGGGAGACTGGGAGATGAGGAGAGCAGGAAGTTAGAAATTGAGAGATTACTCGCGAGATAGCCTTGCATTAATGAATCCTTTATATAATGTTGTCTTGAGAGAAAGTAGACGATTTTTTTAAAATTGGAGATTAGTGCAAGTATTAGATATATTGGAAATAGAATTAATGAGAAAGTTATTTTTCAAGATCAATACATGGGGGGGGGGGGGGCACCATCAAAATAGGACACTTTCTGGAATATAAGGTGCACCTACAAAGGGAAACATCAAAATGTAAATCTACCATATTAAGACATTGATAGACGTACGCGTGACGCATGTCACACACAGAAAAATGAGAAGACAAGAAAGAATAATGTTTTTTTTAAAAGAAGATAGAGGAAAAGGAGAGAGACAGAGAGAGGGAGAGAAAGAAAGAAAGAAAGAAAAAAGGAAGAACATGAAACTTAACTTTACACTTAGGCCTACATATTACATTTACGACTGAGTTGGCTCGACATGTGCTAAAGTAGTCTGCGGACGAAAGTACAACAATACGAAAACAGAAGTTATATGAAATTGTCTTTAAGAGAGAAAGAGAGGTTAAATTCTAAAATGAAATGAAAGGGGTTATGTGACTCTCAAGGAGGAAATGACAATTTCTATCGCTCATGACGACATTTTGGAATTTCCTAAATTTTTGGACCTTTTATTATTTACACAAAGGTAAAAGTGTATAGCAAGAATCCCTATTCAGTGAAGAATTCATCCTTTTTATGCAGATGCTTCTTCTACCATTCTTGACCAGAAGTGCGTTTCAAACTCAATGATATGGGCATCATCCCATTGAATGTTGTGTTCAGTGTTACGTGTTTGTTTTGTTACTTGCTGCCTAATCTGAGGGCTCTGTTGTGCTCTTTAAAAAGAGGACGCAATAGGGGCAGCGCAATTTAAATATCAAGGAATGTATTAGAGTTTATTTCTAAAATGAAATAAAAGGGATATTTGACTTTCAAGAGCGACACAAACTCTAATCCATCCCTTGAAATTTAAATTGCACTGCCCCCATTCAGTGTGCTATTTTCAAAGAGCACAAAAAGGCTTCAGATTGAAGATTCCATCTCATAAAATTGTCTATAAGAGAGAAAGAGAGCCTTATTTCTTAAATGAAAGGGCTATTTGACTTTCAAGGGCGATAAAAAGTCTAATCCATCCCTTGGAATTTAAATTGCACTGCCCCCATCCAGTGTGCCATTTTCAAAGAGCACAAAAAGGCTTCAGATTGAAGATTCCATCTTATAAAATTGTCTATAAGAGAGAAAGAGAGCCTTATTTCGAGAGAAAAAATGAAATGAAAGGGCAATTTGACAAGAGCCCTTTCATTTCATTTTAGAAATAACCTCTCTTCCTCTCTTATAGACAATTTTCTCTCTTGAAAGTCAATAACCCTTTCATTTCATTTTAGAAATAACCTCTTTTTTCTCCTAAAGACAATTTCTCTCTTGAAAAGGCTCTGCCAGGCCCCTCAAGCTCTGCCATGTTGTATGGATCCATTAGAAAGCAAAATAAGCCCACTCAATTATTAATATATATTAAAACGTCATAGCGATTCATCCAAATAAGAAATCCACGTAAGAGGCATTTTGAAAGTTTTAAGAAAATTCCTTCAAATTCCAGGATATTGGATGTTATTTTTCAGGAAACTCTATTTAAACGAGTGGAAGCACTGGCGGTTCTGTTTTTTTTAAACTGTAACAATTCTCCATAGATCAGATATAGACCAAAAACAAGCCTCATTATCTTCAGAATACAAGTGTCATTTCGGACCTTACAGCTTTCATAGAAATCGCTTCTGGACCGTCAAAGAAAAAGTTTGAGAACCCCTGGTCTACACATTATACACATCAGGACCAAATTGCCAATTTGACAAAAATTCGAGGGGGTTCGACCCCCCCCCCCCCTGCGTACGCGCCTGCATGTGCATCCCTTCCTCCTTATTCCCTTATCCATCGTTACCGTCACTACCATTTGAGTAGGGCCGGCCCCCTCCTTAATAACGACTCCCAAGCCATCAAGAATGACCCCATAATTTATAGATTACCATTCTGCCGTTCTTTGGAGGGGCCGGGGGCGGCCTTTTCAGAAGTGTTTCTACACTAACCTTAACATAAACAAGCATGCTAAGATTTTTTTGAAAAGAAGCATAATTTCGACTCAGTTTCGCATAACCTAAAGAAGGAATACCGCCAGTCACCCCTCCTCCCCCCCCCCCCTCAATGCATCCGCCTTCACGCACCCCCCCCCTTCCCCTTGTCTTTCCCTTATTCGTCGTTACTGTCACTAATTTTTAGTGCCATTTCGTTGCCTTTCTTTCTCCCCGGCTCCTCCTTTTTTGAACTCTCTCTCTTTTCTTTACTTTTTTGTTCTCTTTTCTTTTATCTTCTCCTTCCCCCTTTCTTTCTTTCTTTTTTTTTCTTCCTCTTTTTTCCTTCTCATTTTTTTTGCGCCGCCAAAAGGGGGGGGGGGGCCGCGGCCGTTTCGACCCACCCCTGGATCCGCCACTGTCAATCAGATATGAGTATTTACCTCTGGGGCCAAAAGGCATGACTCGGTTTCGAACCGAGGTCCGCATGAGTTTGTAGGCGAAGACAGAAAGCTGACCCCTGAAGTGAACGTATAAGACCAACTCACATGAAATGACGAGGAGTAATGATTAGAAAGGTAGAAAGGAAAGGTGATAATAACAAGGACTTGATGTAATAAGGAGCGGCAATAAGGAATGGGAGAGATTATTACGGAGCAAAAATAAAATGGAAGAGGGGTAGGAGAAGGGTATTAATAGTAGAAAGAAGGGGGTAATAAGGAAGAGGGTATATAGTGGATAGGAGGGTTACCAAGGAACAGTGATATAAAGCGGAGGTATATTAAGGGTTGGTATTATGGAGGGTCGAAATGGAAGTAGGGAGAAGTTAGTGAGAGATTAGTCGGTACTAGGAGGTGGTGAGTATAAGGAAACAACAGAGCAACATATTAACAGTCCCACCTCAATGATATTCACGTATGCGAAATGAATTATATTAAACATACATAGTATCATGCATAATAGATGAATTTAGACAGCTCCTGAGGGTTTTTAAGAGACACATCCATATACTTCGCAACCCTAACTAGGTCTCTCAGTGGGCTGGCGATCCGATATTAGACAAACTAGTTCCATAAAAAACTCAAAATGTCTGAATCTCATTTCCTCCCGAACACATTGGTGTACTCTCGAGCCCTCTCCTCGATTAACATAACATTATGTACCAACCACTAGCATACAACATCAATCTACCAATTCACAATCTACCAAGTCATGCATTGTTATATTCGAACCTCGTTTGATATCAGATGATTATGGTGTTGATCAGCATTCGTTGAACAGCAACAGTCGGCGAAGGTCCAGATCCCAAGAAATTACTGCCTCTTTTCCAGATTGGCATACGGACGAAAGAATCAAAGCGTTACAACCTGTGATTGTCTGTAAAAGAGCTAACATTGCAGGCTTCATGAATTCAACATACATGTACATGTATCTGTAACAGTTCCCTGTATAGTCTCAATGCAATTGCAATTGCAGGGGGACGGCATGTGTACCGATGCATTGGTTAAATATTAACTCGGTAGACAAGAGCAAACCTTACCTTTGAACTGGGTTCAATCAGTGGCCGTGCTTTGTGTCGTCTGCTCCTTCTTGTAAGGGCAGTATATGTGAATATATAGTCACCGTCTTATATCCTTACATGTGTACCTACCACTGGCGAATGTTATTCAAACGTGGTTTTTACTTTAACAAGTGCCCTTTAATTTCTTGAGTAATAAGTACCCCTTCCCCTTCTGATAAGTGGCCCTTTTCATCTTTGATGAGGGCCCCTTTTCTTTTTAAATAAGAGCCATTTTCCCTATTTCATAAACGCCCCTATTCTTACACGTTTGATAAATGGCTCTATTAAAATCTGCCCCTTATCATTTTCACAAGTGCCCCTTTTCAGGTTAAAAAAATGCCCCTTAATTACCACCTCTGAAAAGTGCCCATTCACCTCTTATAATTTCAAATCTGGGTGTCCCTTTTATTTTGACAGTTTTAAGTGCCTCTTAACATCTCCGGTGAGTGCCCTTATTTAAGTTCCTCTTTTCATTCCTTATAAGTGCCTCTTTTATTTTGACACGCCTCCATATATCCTTTCTAATTAGTACCATTTTCGTTCTGATAATTGCCCTTTTCCGAGAGCCTTTTTACTTCTCTGGTGAGTGCCCTTATCAGGTGAGAGTAATGCCCCACTTTCACCTGTGATCATTCTGATATTTACTTTAACACATGCTCCTTTTCTTTTCTAATAAGCGTCCTTTTAACTTTGGTGTGCCGCCTTTTATTTTATCATAAAATGTGCTCTTAATTCAAAGCGACTAAGAACAACTTTTTCTTCAATTTCACAAAAAGCTAGCTCGCAAATCTCGCTCGCGTTTTATGTTATTATAATTGTGTTTCTTATTAAAGATCTTTTCAGACTCTCATAATTAAGATTGTTTTTAGGATGTAATATTTCGCACTGTGACTTCACAAATCTTAAAATTTTGGATTTCTCACTTCGCCCGCTTGCAAATAAATATTCAAACTATCACACCCAACTGCAAAGTATGATTCTAAAGTAGTATCTTGGACCATGTAAAGAAACAAACAATGCAAGCATCCCTTGTAATGTAATCAGAGTGTATAGGTATAAGGGCCTACTAATGTATATACATTGTATATTCTCGCTTTGAGGTTTTTCCTTTGTATGTGCCCCTTTTTTTCTTCTCCTAGAAAGTGCCCTTTATGTTGGTGCCCCTCCTCACTTTGAAAGACGCTCTGCGCCGCCCCTGATTTATGGACAGTTATATTGATATTATAAACATCATCTCTTGCACATAACACATTCTGTGACTGATATCGGTCGGCTCATTGGGGTTATTCGGCAGACTTTGAATTGACCGAATTACGTCGAGATCAGATGGAATGGTTTGCTTGTTTTCTTATGTTTTTTACACTTCGATCAATGAGCCAACGGGTGGGGTATCAACTTACCATCTCATTGTTCAAAGTGTCAAACATTCATGTGAGCAACCAAGTAATGTTTTATAGTGGATATAGGCCAATGCAAAATGACTCTAGCTAGCCTCATGAATAATCAACATAACAAAAAACAGTACGCCTTAGCTAAAACGTAGTTTGTAGGTCAACATCTTGACCTTTATCGTCAATATTCGCATCCCCAAAACAAGTTTTGCTCATTGCGCCACCAGGCGCCACCTCCCCAGTTGAACCTGTCCATGGTTCAACTGAGCTTGTGAAAACAGTCACTGTTTGTATTTATATTGTAACGTAGATGGCGGTAAAGCACTATTGGTTATTGTAAAAATCAAGTAGCAAGATATATTTTCCCAGTACTAATAATAGGCTACCATAAAACTTATATGTACAATTTATCCGGGTAATATGAAGTAACCAACATAATAACATGAAGAAGAAGAAAAAAAGAAAAAAAAACTTTCATATTAGTAATATTTTGCATCGTTTTTTTCTTTGTCACTAAAATTGGAGAAATCAGAAAGTGAATCAACAAACGTTATTTAGATAATTGATGAAAAACAAGAAAATTAGATAAAAATAAGCATGAGAAATCAAAAATCGCATGAAAAAAAATGTGTTCTTAAAAGCGCTTCCTTTGTCTATAGTCAAAACGAAATGTGTAGAACAAGCAGAAAGTTTGATATGAATTATAATGGATTGATGGAGTGAGTGCAGGAGAGAGTGATACCAACCCATGTTAACGCGTAGATTGATTGGAAATCGTGTCTGAATACCATCATAATCTGTTAAAACGCCTGTTCAGAGCCGACAGGGCGTTCACTCTGTATTTGAGGTAATGCCCTTATGACTCCAACCATAATGGAACTATAACTAACATCTATAAAATCATTCTATGCATTGAAAATGGATGTTAGGAAACTGGTGTTGAATGCTCATAATAACATAAATGCGTATGCGCCATTTTAGACGTAGACTGAATTTGTCGTTATCGGAGACCGATCTTTATCATTATCAGACAAGCTAGAAAGCCCTTATTAAACAAGTTTCGTGTCAATTTTTTCCTCGCTATCATCTAGTTGAAAATAAGCTGTGAATATAAAGAATATCAGCTATATAGGTTCACTGATCTTTACAAGAAAGTGCTTTGAACTTTGCTAAAACCACCGTCAGTAAACTTCCTCAATTGTCTTCCTCGAAGCAATGTAAACCACACGGAGTAGCAGACCAGTGTTGTATTACCTTGGACGATTGAAAGACATTTTCGAGAAAAAACATTTTGATATTTATAATTTGTTTCCACATCATTTTACTTAATTCAGACCTATAAACCTCTATAATCTGTTTGAAAATCATAAGAAGACGAAATTAGGAACATGATATTTATTACATACTGGGGGGGGGGGGGGGGGGGGGGGGGGGGGTTAGAGGACACTTTTTTTTTTTTTTTGGTCTCGAAATTTGAAAATTTGACATTTTGCTCCGTTGGGGGGGGGGGGTAAGGTCAGCTTTTTTAGGTCAGCCATGTGAATATATATATATATTTTTTTTTATTAAAAAAAAAAATCCGAAGGGGGGGGGGGGGGGTTTACACAAAAAAATACCAAAGGGGGGGGGTTAGCCCCCAAACCACCCCCCCCCCCCCCCCCCCCCCCGTGTACGCGTCTGACGCCATCTCTCCGACCATGGACCTACTAATTCTTATAGTAGATCCATGGTTCAACCAGTACTGAGCAAGGAACATATTGGCCCGAATTCACAAAGGAGGTTTGTCGACAAACCTTGGTTTTCGTACGTCATATGACGCGTTTTACGCGTTTTTTACAAACCTGGTTTGTAAAGAACAAAAGGAGGTTTGGCGAAACAAAAGGAGGTTTGAGCTCAAACCTTGGTCTGAGCTCAAACCTTGCTTTGTGAATTCGGGCCCTTGGTTGGTTGGTTGGTTCTTCGTTTAGATGGCGCTCTTCAATCTCAAAGATTATTTGCGCCAGTCAATTTCGTGTATAGCTTTGGCGTGGGCTTCGGAAATCAAGCCCACGAGCGACTTTCCTTGGTGAAATGAAATTAATAGTGATATGGTTTTATTAAAAAAAAAAAAAAAAAAAAAAAAAAAAAAAAAAGCTGCAATATTAAAATTGCATAAAATGCACATAAAAGGCGTGATGGGAGTTAGTTGCAATTGTTCATGGAAAAACCGCAAATACTTCATTTTATATATTATTACAGGATCGACATAAGTTAAGGGGATCCCTGATAGCTTTAAAAGCTATCTAAAACGATTAGTATCGTATATGTAACCCAATAATTCACGAGTAAAAATTGGGTTAGACATCAATAATTGTTTCAGATTGGGGTTGTTCAATTTAATCCTTTCTTTTAAGAGACGTCTATCTTTGTCGTATTTTGTACAATAGAAAATAAAATGTTTAATTGTTTCATCTTCTTGACAAACTTCACAAAGACCAGTATCGTGTTGGTTAATTTGAAAAAGGTAATAATTTAAACTACAGTTACCTACTCTTAGTTGTTGTATCAAGCATTCTTCTCTGCGAGATAGGCCTTGTCTATGTATGGGCTTTGAAACGTCGCTATGCAAAGCATATAAAAATCTACCGTGTTCTGCATTGTCCCATTCTGCTTGCCATAATTTGTTATAATGGATCAAACGAGAGGCTGCCAATTCACTTCTTGTATTTGGTATAACTATGTCTATACACCTTTTCATGGCTCCTTTTTTGGCAGCCCGATCTACGATCTCATTGCCCCTAATATCGCAATGTGACGGAATCCATTCAAAAGCAACACAAACATCCTTAAACTGCAAAATATTAATTATGGATAAAATTTCATTTACAATAGCACATCTAATAAAGTATGAATCGATCATTTGTAAAGCTGACAAAGCGTCGCTAAAAATTACCACCGAAGAGGATTCAATAAATGTATTAATCCACTCTAGTGCCATTAGTATGGCCACTAGTTCTGCTCTCATAATACAGACATGGGATAATCTAAAAAATTTCACCACATTATAATGAGACACATAAAATGCGGCTCCTGTCTTCCCATCCTCGAGTTTAGAACCATCTGTATATATATGTAAAAACCCATTCCATGAATTTCCAATGCTATCTAGAACAATCGATTTTATTTCAAATGGAGGCATTTCCTTTTTTTGCACTTTGCCATGGTGTTCGAAAGACACTTGTGGTCGTGCTAACCGCCATTCTGGGATTTTCGGCAATAAGTTGGTTTGCCCTTCCACCACTACTTCGTCTCTAAATGATCGCAGTTTAAAAGGTCCTTCTCCTATCTTCCATTCTAAGTTATTTAAATCATAGTCATCACCCAATACTTCTTTTGTTGGGTGGTTTAAAGTACTAGACAGTAAATAAACTCGAAAGTTATCATTTAACAACCTTTGTGTTTGTATTTGTATTTACTTGTGTTTGTATTTACATTTTAACGTAGATGGCGGTAGAGCACTGTTGGTTATTGTAAAAATCAAGTAGCAAGTTATGTTTCCCAGCACTAATATAATAGGATACCAGGACAATTATATGTACAATATTTTTCCGGCTATTATGTAGTAACCAACATAATAACAAGAAGAAGAAGAAGAAGAAGAAGAAGAAAGAAAAAACTAACATATTG